CAATACAGTATCAAATCGCCAAGACAGTGTTCGATAAAGATAAGCGTAAAAAACATACCAGTGCAAAAAAGAAAACCCCAATAAAATCACCAAAAAAACACGTCCAAAACAAGCCGAAACCTAAACCTCTGCTTGGAGAGTATAAACATGATAGATAATCCAAATCTAGATGTTCTTTTGTTACAGATTAATCAATACGCGTAAGAGAAAGCTGCCGGTGCTTTTTGTTTGGTCCGCCCGTAAATCAACCCCTCGGCAGTCCGTGTCGGACACCACGTAAGCATTGGTTAACTGTGTCTGCATGTCTCCACCAGGCGTAAGCGTAGCGCGACTAACGATTTTCTGTGACAGACGACGCTATGAAAACACGCCACATGAGCGATTGCAGCGATTACTCATATACGCCTTTACGCTGAGTTTAAGCTTGCGTAAATACCAGTTTTCGTGCTCTGATTCTGTTTAAGCACAGTTTGCAAAACACTGCTAGGATTATTACAACAATTAAAAATATTTTTTTTATATCCAGAAAACCGTGCTTTATCCATAACCATGCTCAGCCATGGCTCTGGATAGTCCACACTCCACACGTACCCAGAACCGTGCCTGGGGAAAATCTACTTTCTTTAATACGCGGAGACTATCCAGAACTGTACCTGATCCTAACCTCAACACATTCAGGCATAGAACTAGATAGGCACAGTTCTGCCCAAGATAGCAAGCATGTTTTTCGCATTCATTCTCATTTTAATCCCCGCTCAATGTAATCAACTCCTTTCACGAGAAGCTGAATAGAACGATATGATGCTAATTGCTCTGTACTATTCTTAGACAGACCTTCGTGCTTGATAAGATAGTGAATACTTTAGATGTATGTAAAATTTCAGAATGTTCGTGTTAAAGATGGATTACCTTGTGTACCTTCTCTGTGGGTGTTCTAGGAACTAGACGATTTATGCACAAAACGATGAACGGATGGTGTATGTAAGTATGTGTAAGTGTAGTTATGTTTACCGAACGAAAACATATTGCTTTTTCTCTTCTTCTTCTCTATACAGGTAAAGTCAATGACCTGAACCAGGCATCTGTCACAATGGTAACTGGTATTGGGTTACATCATGTTGCAATTTCATAGCAGGATTTAGGCTCCTGTCACCATATATGAATATTTTTAATAAGAATTAACAGGGCAGACCATGTGCGAAGGTAACATTATTTTTGATTTGCAAATGTTACCTTTTTAGTTTAGAAAACTCCGGAAGCCAGCAAAGGTTTTGTCCATTAATTCAAACATGACAATTTTTCAGGATATTTACCCTAACTATATAGTAGTAGATGCCAACCAAGAGCGCACGTAAAAGCTTTTCAATTATTATTCATTATTTTCTGACATATGTTTTATTGCTAGGAGTTATAAAATGTAATCACTGTTTTCTTAATAAAGAGCATTAGTCATAGACGTGGGAACATGTACATATAAGGCAATGTCACCTTCAGTGCCTAGTTACCATAGCGACAGCGTGCTCAAACCTTCATTAGCATATCCCTTAGTGATTCAATTTTTGAGACGCACCAAAAACTCACTTAAACCTCCTTAGATGCACTAAAAGAGAGATAGCTAGTCAATACTGTGATTTTGCATATTGTTTTTGCAAATCTGGTTTGAAATGTTTAAAGACGAACAAGCCACATTGATTTTCTGTATCTGTATCTGTACAGCCGGTATAACCGCCCTTCGGCGTAACACACCAGCTTAACAAGTGAAGCTGTTAAGCATGTAACATGTGAAATACAAGTAAATGTTTATATTCTTGATGCTTGCTTTGATTATGGGTTCCGCGATTCACATATTTTAGAACCAACTGTACCGTATGTCACTACTGTTACTGAGTAGATCAGTATGTTATTGATATTTAATGACGAACGCCGTATCCAATCGTAACAAAGTTGTTTTTGTGCCCATTGGGGCGGTGGTGTATGCATGAAGCGGGTTGTGTTCATAACCAGAAACCCAATGACCTTACCATTATTTAAAAATATAATGGTAAAATGGTAAGGTCTTTGGGAAAAGCTATTTAGGTAGAGCGAACAAAATTCCTAGTAAGAAGTAAGATTTATTCCGTGAAGATCAGGTGAAACCCCCTGTACAAAAACCCAATGACCTTACCGCTATTTCTACAAGCCTCTGTTAAAAGCTGTTCAAGTAGAGAGAACAAATTTCCTAGTAAGAAGTAAGCTTTATTCCGTGAAACCTCCTGTACAGAGGGGTTTGCGATGCTCTTGGAAGATGAAGGGAGATTTGCGCAAAACGCCTGTGACAGCTGTGGGATTATCATCCTTAATGGCCTCTATGCGGAATCCAGCTGACGCTTCTGTTGCACAGGGATCAGCCACAAATGTCAGGGGGGATGAAGAGGGCTAGGGACCGATCGTTAGATCTGCCGATTTGGTAGAATCCCCGATTTTACAGACAGAAATCCTGATTGGAGTCGGTAAATATTAAGGTATTGGCTTAAAAGACAGTCAAACCTTTTTATATGTATTCATGTCACTTTTGGATCAATGAATTGACTTGATTTGGATTTGTAAATGGGAAACCAACCTAACTTAATAACAACATACTGATCGGACATAATATTTATATATGTATTTATCTAGAGTGATTGTAATGTTTGCTTCTTTCCTACCCTAATTTTGACCTTGTTGAAAAAATTTGGATGTTTTCGTTTTTCCGTTTACTTTCATACAAAACGGAAAACCAAACGTACATTTATTAGGATCATGTCTTAGTAACATGCCTGGAGTTACCATTGCTGTCCAAAAACAAAGTCTTGTGAAAATGTCATGAACCTCTATGAACCCTACCGTTGCTACGCTCTAAAACAAACATGCTTATCCTATCCTGTATCCAATTGCATTAGAGAATATTGAAGACTCATATTTGAGTCCCAACATGTTCAAATCAAATCGCTTTATCTCCGCACGACTAGCAGATAATATGTTTTTGTCGCGTCTCATCATGTGGATATGAATCGCCTAATACCAGGAGACCAGACTACCTATTGTTAGCCCTCTCCCGTATCCTAGCAACGCAGACGACGTTTACAAAGGCGATACCTCTCTGTCGATGATTTCGTCACATCACGCCATGGAGAGGGGCCGGTTACAATAGTCTTTGTTGATTGCCCCTTCATGTTCAATAGGGGCCCGGCGGAACCAAAACGTTATCGCTTGTCGTCACCTTTGTTCATCGCAGATAATAAAGATCGCGTAATTAGGTAATTCCGCCAGGTATGACTCAGGGAGAAAAGTTGCTGTTACAGTTCTATACCTCTAGCTCTATGCCTAGAAGTGGCCAAATGGCCTTGCATTGAGCGTACNCCGTTTAAAAAAATGGTATGCTAATCGGCTTATTTTTCATGTGTTGAGGGTTTTTTTTCCTAAGCTTTCTTTAATGTAATCGTGCTTTTTCCAGTTACAAGAGTGGCACATGGATACGGCCTTCCCAATTTGCTATCGCCTTGCCAACTTGACAGCCACCAAAAGATCTGCTTGAAGATAACCATTTCATGGCAAGACAAAGACAAATTGGAAAGGACACAGAATCAAGCTGCAAGATTCTGTATGAACAACTATGTAAGAGGTGCTAGTGTCACGGAAATGAAAAGAAACCTACAGTGGACCTCACTTGAAGACAGAAGAAAGATGTCTAGACTATGCATGATGTACAAAATGACTAATAAACTGGTGGATGTCCCAACTACTAAGTACCTAATACCAGCCCAGAAGAGAACAAGAAATAGCCACGCATTCAAGTACCAGAGTTATCAACCAAGGATTGAGGTGTTCAAGAATTCATTCTTTCCTAGAACTATCGCAGAGTGGAACTCACTGTCACCAAGTACAGTAGGGGCACTGTCAATAGATAGCTTTAAACAATGTCTAGAGCTAGAAGTTCAAGGGTTAGGTGTAACAAGTCGATCGGTGTAATATAGCCAGCTGCCGCCGCGCCGCGTGCCTGCGAAGCTGGTGTGTTACGCCGAAAGGCGGTTATACCGGCTATACAGATACAGATACATGGCGTTCGTAAAAATCACTACTCCATGGGATTAAGTGCCAACATCTTGAACTCCATGTCGGGACTTGTCTCCGTACTAAATGAGCCACGTAACCGTCCTGACGTGCTGTAATCACTCAACGACACCCACAGCTCCACAAGCTCAGTTCTCGTGGTCTCAGCTTACCAATAAGAGAACGTTCCCATTCACGTACAACAGCAAAGCTGATATTCTCTAAAACTCTGCCCTGTCTGACTCCCATTAATTATTAACGTCGCGTTCTTTGTACTGCACAAACCTAATATTTCAGAGCTAGTCTATTGGCAGCGAGTTTTATCCGTCTGTGCAAATTACAGCCGGAAACCCAGACCATACATAGCGACTATAGGGTCAAGCTTGGAAGCTCGTCGTAATTACGAAGAAGATGAATGAACCGACGCGAAGGTGTAATGTATCTGGCTTGTAGGAACCAGTTTAAGATCTCCAGTTACGTGACCTTCGGGTCTCCTCTAACGTTAGCCTTTCACGGTGTTATTTGTGTATTATATTCTTGTAAGATAATGTCTAATTATTGGATGGAAATATTTTGTAGCGTACACATATAGCAGATAAATTATGAAGAGTATACTCACCATTATATATATATATATCATATTCATAAGATATTTTCACACAAATATATGATTATCAAGTATAATCTAATATGGTGACCATATTTTATTACGGGATGGGATGTCATCGAAACGTAAAGAAGTACAGATTTTGGAAAAGATAAAAATAAAAAAGAAACAGTAATTGCTAGACACCTTAAATATTATTCAAAGGAAGGATTTTACATAAAATAGATAGGTATCAAATATTAGACTTAATCTCTAGCTAGTTAGCTTTAGTCCTCTCTCCAATATCCCTTAGCCTGCGTTCTACGATTCTCGTTCTCGTCCCCAGGTGCTCTAGCGGCTACAGGGCTGACATCACCAAGTACGGTGACGGCGACAGTAGGAGGGACAGTAACTCTGGAGGCTTCATACACCAGTACAGCGCAACTGTTTGCTCTGACATGGATGAAGGTACAGTATATTATTTTTAAACAGGAATTTTTTGCAGATTTCAGATTTTTTATATATACTAAGAAAAGATTACATAGAATATAATTTGTGACTATTTCTAAATTCACTGTAAAATGTTTTAATGATTAAAGATTTAAACGATTATTGCTACAGCCACACAGACATGTATATGTAAGGTCCAATGATGCTCCCATACACAGGGAATGTTCACTATACTTATCGAGCATCGTTGAAAGAAAGACCTTATAAAGATAAAGTTTTGTTCTTTGATATAGTGTTCCTCCCATTGTGATACTGCCTTTACTGGCAAGTGGTAACTCTAGGTAGTCGTGGTAGTTGTCAAAACGTAAATTTGTAACTACGTCTAAACGCACTTTATTCCCAGATTGACGCAGATGGAAGTGACGAGAGGAAAACAACGGTTTATCTGTGGAACCCGCTGACGGGAGAAGGCAATGCGATGGGCCCTCTGTCGGGCAGGGCGAAGAAGGTTGATCAGGCTTCACTACTCATCACTGATGTGGAGGAGACGGACGGGGGGAAGTATTCCATCACGGTTATCGTGGAAAACGAGGGGCAAGAAGAGAGAACTATCAACCTTAAAGTACAAGGTAAGTAGGCAAGAATAAAATAACTCTCTCTCTCTCGGGTTCAAATTACGTATTATATTACCTTCGTAGACGGAAAACATATTGTTTTTGCCCGGTTTCTTCTACTCCAAACACATGAGGTCAAAGACCAGGACCAGACGTCTGTCACCATGGTATCTGGTGCTGTAGCAGACACCCTGTGGTGTTGGGTTACATTATATAGCAAGGTACTAACAAGGACCGAGTTGGAGGGGGTGGTCACAATAGGCTAGACCACGCGAAGGATGTAAATGTACGCATATATTCCATGTAGTATTCAAGTTGTAAAACCTCTTCATCAACCTTCCATTTAGAATAGATTTACCATCAAAACTCTGTATTTTTCCTATCGTGACTGATACTACGGTTAATTAAATGAAGAAACCATCTGGAGAAATGCACCTCACCTTTTCTCCTGACATTGACAAAAATGAAAATAACTGGTTTCATACACCAGCCGCATTCGAGTCACTTTTCCTTAATTGAATAGTCCTTTTCTCTGCTTGCTAAAACTCCCAAAGCAGCTGTCATCAGGCTTTTACATTTGATTTAGTCACTGTGGTATATTGCCTGAAGTTGCATTAGACGATTCTTTACAAGTTGACCTTGGAAATGGAGGGGCGGACGCAAATATCGTTCACAGGAGACACTTAGTTACCTCAGGGGGGAGGGGGCCAACTGAATAGAACTGACGATCCCTCTGAAAGGCGTCTGCATTACTGACAAAATCGATTCGAGCCCTGCACACTTCAAATCGAATTAGCGGTTGCATTTAAGGATGATTCTATTCATGTCGAGCGCGCTTCAATCCTCAATTTGCCGTCAGGAGCGGCTGAGCTGACGGGTAAAAATAGGCCAGCTGAATAACACGTTCCTCCACTTGATGTTTCTGCCATAATAAGGCTCTTAAAGAGAAAATGGGGAATAAAAGATATGAGCTTCCTTTTGGTGTCTTCAATATGGTGTCTGTGAATGCATGAAAAAAGAGTTCGAAGATGTCATTCTTCCGCAATATATTAAGTGTTTCTCGAATCTTTTACAGTACTGGTATCATTCTCTTTTTTCGTACAACATTAACAGCAATTTGATACTATCCTGACAATATGATACTGTCTTGACAATTTGATACTGTCTCCACCATTGAATTATGTCTTTCATCCATCAAAAGACTTTCTTGGAGATAAGCTACATGTATATAGTTACGTATTGACAATGCCTCCATCCTTGCCAAAGTAAAAAAAAATTAATCATTAATTGTTTTATATGCTCCTGCTTTCAAACCACTAGGATCAACACATTATACTCTCTTTAATATATTTTTCCTGTTCCAGTTCCACCCACTGTAGCGGTAGGACCCCAGGATCCCTACCAGGCCATCTACAAAACAGACGTGTCTCTCAACTGCATTGTCGCCAATGCCAAACCGGAAATTACGTCACTCTATTGGCTGAAGAACCGGAAGCCCGTGGACACCACGGCGAGCGGCCCGAGTGCCAAATACAAGGACGGCAACACGGTGTTTCCTTCACTCGTCATCAGGAACATCAGCAAGGAGGATGCCGGGACGTACACATGCGTGGCTGATCACGTGACAGGGCCGGTAGAAGACAGCATGGTCATGAAAGTTTCTTGTGAGTACAAGGGATTATATATTATTGTTTGATGCTTTAAGAAAACAAAAAAAAAGATATTCTAAGATGTTTATAATGTTAATGTCATGTTTACCTTTGCAAAACTACTCTCGCTCAATTTCTTCTTCTCCAAAAAATAAGGTCAATGACCAGGAGCATCTGTGGTAACTGTTACTGTAGCAGACACCCTGTGGTGTTGGGTTGCATTATGTAGCAAGTTGCAAGACTGAGTTGGAGGAGCTGGTCACCAGAAACATGCATGTGTTCGACAACGAATAAACTGGTCAATAGTTTGTTAGGCTAAACCACGTGAAGGTAAATATTATGTATTTGCTTTGAAAATTTCAGCTTTCTAGTAGTAGATGATGTTGTTTTTTTATTACAGATCCAGCTCAAATAGTGAACGTGACGTACCCCGAGCGAGTGTACGTCGGTGACAAGGGGGTCAGGTTGTTCTGTGCTGCTGACGGAAACCCACATGCGGAAGTGACGTGGTCTAAAGAGGGGGCACTTCCGCTAATAGGCATGAAGGCCCTCCCTGGGTGAGAAAGATCACAACAATACGCATGCCGAAAATTGTCCTTACAATCTAGCCTCTACCAGGCTTCAAAGGCGGCTGGAAAAAGTAGAAATTGGCCAAAAAAGACAAGTACAGTGTCGGAGGAGCTTGTGCACTAAAGGAGTACAGTTTGCCGCGCTTCAGAAATCTCACCTCATTGTTATAGCAAGCCTTACATGGTTATAGTGCACCACACTGTCTCTATTCAACACAATCATGCAAACATAATTTCTTTATGCAAAATACACAACGTACACAGCACAATGCAAACGTTTCACAGAGTAATGCATGCATGCAGACAGTCTTCTTAGTACATGATAACTAGCAATAAGACACATGTGATATTAAATTATTAAATTCCATAAGAGTCTAATGATATTCGTGTTGAATAAAACTATAACACATTGATACCCATATCATATTCGTATTCATATGTAACTGAATCTGTAACTGAAACTGTTTATTCACATTGATTGGCAGCCAATATGCATTGCTTGGCTGAATTGCACAAGTGATAACATGATGATGTATGTGTCTATTGTGTATATTTGTATTATGATGTCGCAATATCAGCTATCAGCTGCCTGGCGGCAACATTGTATTGCCATGTTGCAATTTCAAATAAATAAATAAATATCATATTCAGATATATAATTTCTATAACACATTAATCATATCTATTCAGCAACAACACGCTGGTCATCCCGGTGGTGAGGCGGAATGACAGTGGAGAGTACATCTGTACTGCGCGGAACGGAGTCGGCAGGACAGACTCAAAAAGGATACGCCTCAAACTGTTAGGTACGTCTTTGGACATCTTTAACAATATTCATCCATCCATCCATCCATCCATCCATCCATCCATCCATCCTTCCACCTATATCCATCTATCCAGCTAGAGAGAGAGATTGCGTGTGTGTGTATGTGTGTGTGTTTAATGTTTGTGTCACAGTGTATAATGTTTATTCAGCTTTATTCTAAGATTTGTAATGCTACACAGAAAAAGATACAATAATATTTCCAATGAGTTCATTTTCTCATACATTACGCATAAGTGTGAGGGAAAGAATATATTTTTTGTATATTCAACATTACAGATGTATGGCGTTCATACTGGAAGACAATATAATGATCGGAGCGAATTTTTGTGTGATCACAGTTATTTTTATAATAATTTTTTATTGAAAACCCGTCGATTCGCAAAAGCAAGCAACGCTGAATTCGCAAACAGGCGCCACATCATTTACAGTTGTCAAAGAACGCTGAGAGAGATAAAGACTGCTATTACACAGTGCGGTGGAGGTGCACGCTTGGCTTAAGCAATTACATGACCGACATCCATTATGGAACGTATATTGTTAAGCAGAGTCGCCCTTGAAAAGGACAAATTCTCGGCGCTGTGAGAGAGGAATTTAGATCTTTATTATGATAATCTAAAGATATCCTCTTTACGTAAGTAGTTCAGAGCGCGTTCAGCGGCTGTCTATCTACTCTGCAAGCACAGGTTCAGGCATCGGCTTATTTCTGACGTGTTTTATGCATTTTATCTCGCTTTTTGTGGCGTTTTCTTACGTCAGCTAAACGTACATTCTTCCCTGACAATCCCACACTGTATATTACCAATATACAGTGTGGGATTGTCACACACTGTATCTTTCCAATTTGATACTGTCTTGCAGACATCAACAAAAGATCTTCTTGGAGATGTTTACCCTGACGTAGTTCCAAGCGCGGCGCTGCTTATCCTATAGAAGCTCCCTCCTCACGTTGTGCTCCAGGCAGATTATAGAAATGTACAATCTCCAAGCAGATCTCTTGGTGGTTTCAAGAAAGAATCAAATTTTCAAGACAGTATCAAACTCACAGGGCAGTATCCATGTTTGATTGGCGTAAAAAAAGATACCAGTACAAAAATAAATTCCATCCATCAAAAACGCCTAAGACACGTCAAAAACGTAAGTCGAAGCCTAAAGCCCTGCTTGGAGAGTAATAAATGTATTGATAAAGTGACTGCAAAAGGTTTTCTGTACAAGATTCAAACAGTGAGTTGATTCAGGTCATTGAACTTATTTGTTTGGAGAAGGAGAGGAAGAAGAAACAGAGCAAAAACAAACAATATGTTTTCTTCCTGCGAAGGTAAACATAAAAACAGTACAGTCTCCTGACGTGCTGGCGCACAATGGCGGCGCATTAGCCGCCAATTATACCCAACAGATGAGTCAATTTGCTCGCCAAGGCAGATGGCACGAATTAGGGTCATACGGGAATGCCGTCAGGTCTGAAATGACAGAAAATTATGGTGATTTTTATGTGATCGGAATATTCGTTCTCAGAGACAGAACTCGCATCATGCCTACATTGCTATTGGAAAGTTTATGAAATTAGTAACTAAAAAAAAAGTTGCATATGGAAATCCATAAAGGTATATTAAGGTGATAGTCTTGACTGGACCAGACGTCTGTCACCATGGTAACTAGTGCTGTAGAAGAGACCCTGTGGTGTTGGATAACGTTATTCAGCAAGTAGCAGGAGGGACTGGTCCCCATATTTATGAATGTGTTTAATTAAGAATAAACAGAGCAGTAGTTTGTTAGTGCAGATCATGATCATGTGAAGGTTAACATTATGTGGGACATTAAAAGGTGGGACATTACGTCTTCCATAGTCTAAAAAAGAGAAGTCAAACCCCTTAGACATAGTTTTAGATATAGCTATAGCTCTAGACAACTACCTTTTATCATGTAGATTTTAGTTATTTTATACTACGTTTCATTGTTCTTTTATGTTTGTAATCTGCAATTAGCCCCCCGGGCATGAATTTGCAATAAACTTCTATTATGTCTCTCCTTTTCAAATATTACCTTCTAATTCTGGTTATAGATAGCCATTATTTGATTTCAATAGGCCTTTGATTTCACATGATTTTGTAGTACATCAGTGACCGGTTTTCTTTCATGTGACACCCGCAGAAGGCGGCGGCGGCCTGTCCACAGCCCTGCTAGCCGGCGGTGTGTCCGCGGCGCTGCTGGTGGTGGCGTGCGGCGCGGTGGTGGCCGTGTGGCTGCGCAGGAAGAGAAGGAAGGACAGGGAGCGGGAGAACATGTCCATGTACTACAAGGCCGCCAAGGAGGAGTTCGAGTATCTCGCCAAGAAACGGCTGGGAAGGAAACCACCCGAGATCATGAAGAAGCCAGGTTCTTATGTTTGAATTTATGATATGATGTCATATAACCAAATTCAGTACATGTATATCCTAGGGGTTTATATACCTACTGACACAGATAGATGTCTTATATATGTATTTTTGTATACGAAACCGCCCGAGATTATGAAGAAGCCAAGTTCTTAAATGTTCACGTCATAAAATTCAATATTTAAGCATATCTTAAAGTATCCGTAATGGTTCCGTTTTTATAGACACCTGGCGTAACGGTGCCTTAACACATACTTTAAAGCACACTTAAATATCGGATTTTGTGCAGTGTTTATAATATGATATTACATAACTAAATTCAATATATCCTACGGGTTTATATACCCACTGACACAGACAGATGCCATATGCATGCAATAAGTATATATGTGCAATTTGAACAACTATCACCTAATATACCATTATTTCTATAAATCTTAGACTTAACACATTTGTACATGTAAGACTTGAACGTATAGTTGTAGCTAGTAAGATTCTGATTACTAAGTTTCACTGCATACGAATGGTTGAAAGAACCTGCATTTGCCACAATAAATAGATGTACTTCTGCGTTTTGAATATAGCTGCATGCCGCCCACGCTACTGTTAGTTAAGCTACGGAAACTGTGATCAGGTGTTGCCTGGTCTCAAAAAGGAGAAATCAAGCACGCACACGAGCAAGCTCAACATCCTCGCAAAACAGAAATAACCATTAGTATAGTCTCTGGAATCAAAATAACTTGACTTGTAGCTTCTTTGGTCTACTGCAGCAATTTGCCAGATTTCCCTTTAAGTGTAGATTGTGATGACTAAAAATAATACGTATTCTTAATGAGATGCGTTGTTCTCTTTTCTCTTGTAGGAAAGGAAGAGATGGCTGATGTGAAGGAGAGGAGTGACAAAGGTAGCGGTTAGTTATGTACTAGTATAATTATATCATATAACCTTAAATACCGTTTGGAATGCATGGGAGGTAGCTCTGGGATCACTATTTACCTCCATGAAAAATGAAGGTATTGTTTTTGGTCTGTGCTCGCGCGTGCGTGCGCGTGTATACATGTGCGAATGGATAGTGTTCAGCACCAAGGACGCGCGTGTATGTGCGTGTGTATAGTGTTCAGCACCAAGGACAGGCATGCTAACGTGTGTGTGTGTGTGTTTCTGCATATTTCTGGTCATCACAACTTACAAAGCCCTTATGGATTTTAATGATATTCGGTACATGGGTAGCTCTTGGGACGACAAAGGTCAAGGTGATATGTGTGCGTCCTGGTGGCTGACCTTGGTACTGCAGCAGAACTTAAAATGACAGTAAAAGACTTCTGTACAAGGTTACTGGTCTGCCTGTGCGTGTGTTTCTAGTAAGAATAACTTATTAATGTACTTATGGATTGTGATAATATTCGGTGTTTGGGTAGGCCTTCAGACGACAAAGGTCAAGGTCAAATATGGGTCTGCTGGTGGCTGACCTTGGTACTGCAGCAGAACTATAGCCATTTCCTTAATCTCGACAGGTCGGAAAAAGATGGTGCGCGCCATCTACAGCTACACTCCTCAGGATGAGGATGAACTCACCCTGAAGGTCGGTGACGTCATAGAGGTCATCCGAGGTGAAAATGGCGGCTGGTGGTTCGGCTATCTCAACGGGCAGCTGGGCCTGTTCCCGTCCAACTACGTCGAGGTCATTGACCCTGAAGGTACTATCATCAAAAGTGTGTTTGAATTTTTGAGAAACAATAAAGAAAAGACTACGTTTCACAAACCAACTTATTATGCAGAACGTGGGACTATTCTGTCACTGCATTAAAAGAAGAAGTCACACCTCCCAATGGCAAGCAAAGAAGTAGTATAGGATGATCAAACAATAGTTGTAACGTTATGTTCTCTACTGCTTTACTTAACTTTCCTTGACACCGTAGATGCAAATAGCCTTGGAGCATAATTTTGTAAATAAGGAATTATTATCGTGGATCTGATTTCAAGCATTTGCCCGTACAAAATGGTATCAATAAGGTTATAGAAAGTTAAGTTCCCTTTGCAACACCAAGTGTTAAATACCTGGAGAGACAATTGACTCCGAACTGAACCAAACGTAAACCAGCACCAAGAGACCACGTCTAGCGATATATTATACGTTAAGCAAGGACAACAACAACAACAAACAAGTGTTAACTTATGCATTTTCTGCTTTTCCTTTTTAGATCTCGTCGGAGAAAATCGCTTCAACGACGACAAGCAGCGAGAGCAGCGGGACATGTCTCGCAAGATCGCGGCCGAGTTCAAGTCTCGCGCAGCCGCCGACAAGAACTTCCCTCTTCAAGTCGAGATCCACGACGAGGGAGGAACGATAACCAAGAAATACGACAAGATAGGCATGGCGGCGACGCTAAAGCTGGAGGAGAAGAAGCACACGTTGGCTAAACAAGTCGCAAAACACAGCGTATAGAGTATTAGTAGTGCAGTAGTTTACTCATCCGCCATCTTGGCCGCAAAAAACTGTGGGAGAACGAACTAGCCACATTGGCTTTTGACTGCCACAGTGAAACACTTCAAGTGCAAGTAATTATGAAAAAAAGGACCAATTAGAAAAGGGACATAGAATGGGTTAATTAGTGAAACGTCTAAGTTTTTGATAGACGTACAGATTGATAGATGTAGAATCTGTTCATCAGAGGTTTTCTTACGTTTCAATACGACGGAAGTATTTACAACTGTTTGTGTAGTGATGCAGTAATAGGAAACATCGCAAGGACAATCGTTCGAAGACTTTGAACATACGCCTCAGTACATGCACGGGGCAATTATACAACCATTAAGACATAGTAACACATACACTTGAGTACAAACTTGTGACGTACATTGTAGGTAGTCCACAGTTGACTACGCGGCAACAGTTTGCCAATAGTTAACGTTAACGCTGGCTGAGCCAGTATCTTACAGACAGCAACGATTTCTACACGAGTACATGGTGGTATGTTGTTTTTGTGGGTTAAATTCTGAAAGGTAAACCCAAGAAAAAGGCTTACGTAGACAGTGGTATGCGTAAGGATAATATTTGTCTTTGTAGCTTAATCATAATATGGTGTCTGCGTTTTCGCGATAGAATCGTTATGTGTGGCACTAATGTTTTCATTGCTGATCATCGACTGATGTGCAAGATGAGTGACGTGTTTTCTAAAGAAAAGCAAATGACAGAAGCTTAAATTTATGACATTTTTATCTAATCACGAATAACATGTTAGGATAAAACAACATCTATTTCATATCTACATCAAGAGTAATACTTCTGAACAACTTGGGAAGATACGAGCCAGTGCGCATTTGAGTTGTCTCTACAGATATTCCAGACTTGAGCACTCAACCCGAATCCCTGCAGGGCCATTAAAATGCTACACTTCAGAAACGTACTTCAAGCGCCCATGGCTGGCACGTCCTTTCTGATCACATTAATTGCCAGTCATACAGAAGACCGACCTCTTCTGATGACGTCTTTTTGAAGGGTGGTGATGTCAGTGGCCGTTTACGTTTGATTCCCGCCACTAGCTTGACTGCATTTAGCGGTGTGCTCTGAAACTACTATTCGTATCACCCGTTGTTCAATACCAGAGGGTTGAACTTCGTTGTTGTTTGTTCTACTTTGCTAGATGTTTTGTTTGGCAAATGTGTTCCGAGTGGTATATGAAACCTGTAAGTGCCACATGAATACTAGTATATTCTTGTCTACCGATGCTTAGACGACTCATTGCAAATGCCAGTATAGTGAAGAAAATGCAGTTTAAAACGCAGCTTAAAAGTGTTAGTTTTAATGTCATCTACATCCTTCATCTAAAGAAGAAAATGTCACAGCTAACATATCAAGCGTTGGCAAATCATAGAGATGCTCAAACTTATAATAAAACTACAATTGCTTGCTTAGTGCCATCTAGCGACGGCTAGCTATAAACACAACATTTACTCTGTATTAGTAAGTTATTTGTATTTTTAGTTATTTGTCTTACATATGCCTTTTGAGCCGTGAAACTATAATATGTTTTTTTTGTGACATCTTGCGTAACTACCCTGATGTAGAATAGAGAACTGTGATGTACATAGTTTTGCTTCGTGATTTAAAGAAAACAATTAAACACATTGTATACAATGTGAGTACTGTTATGTTTCAGCAGTCTGTCTCATAATACTTATCACAAATATATCCATATTAGTAATAACGATATAGATGCTATTGTAATATATTGTTCATAAAGTTAATTATTATTACCTTAGAAAACCTAAACCTTGGATAATGGATAGATATTTTGTATTGTCTGCAGTTAATCAATGTTTTATTTTATTTTATTTATTAAGCTTCACAGATTTTTAAAAAATCTGTGAGGAGCCGGCAGCAGAAAGCTGGTTTCTCTACGAGGGTGGCCGCTCCTCATGTGATCAACAGAGATACATAGCACAGACACAAATAATACATCAAGATACATCGCCATCAAAAATATACAATATGCAAAAACAGATAACAATAATGGCAGTATGATATGGCTAAGTGGTTAGGCAGGCATTACACCTACAAAGGTGTACATTTAGATACTTCCCCACTCCTGGATCTCCTGGAGGATCTTCAGCAGATCTGGATCCGCAGGCAGGACCATCAATCGTATGAAACGGTTGAACACTCCGTTCAGACAGTCGGCTTTGAAGTCAGCCTTCAGCTGTTCCAGTGTGTAGCTCCGTAAGCCCGGGGATTCTGCAAGAATTGGAACGCAAGGATGGCGTTTAATATCACAGATTGCTCCTTTTTAATGAGATGAACATCATTCTGCATCTGTATCGCTATAGCCGGTATAATCGCCCTTCGGCGTAACACCAGCTTCGCAGGCACGCGGCGCGGCGGCAGCTAGCTATATCACCCCAAATGGCTTGTTACACTCAATCTTTGCATATTTAATTGCAGTAGTTTTTTAAAGCTGTCTAGTAGTGATGCCCCGACTGTGCTTGGTGGCAACGAGTTTCACTCTACAATTAGTCATTACAACGGTGCAAAGCCAAAAAAGATATTAAAATGAATCCGACTTTAACATTATACTATGGAATTTGTACAGTGATAATGAGGGTTCTTACCGTTTGTACCCAGGGTCTCCATCAGTTTGTGGTGATAGTGAGCCAGGATGGCGTCCCTGTGGTTGTGGAAGACGTCCCAACCCGCGTTACAAAGAAACAGGAGGGTCAGGTCATAGGTCAGAGGCACGCACCTGAGCGTCTGCCAGTCCACCAGCCTTACGTCAGTGGGCACGTCTTCTGCGTACTGTGTTCGGAACAAAGACAACAGTAATGATAAGTCAGCTTGGAGGAAAAAACATTAAAGAAACTAGGAAGGTAATATTTGGAGAGCAAATGCATCATGTTTACCTTCGCATATGGTCTACTCTGTTTGTTCTTACGAAAACACATTCATATGATCAGACAGGAGTCTAAATCCCTCCTGCTATAAAATTGCAACGTAATGTAACCCGACACAAGTTACCATGGTGACAGACGTCTGGTTTAGGTCATTGACCTTATTTGTTTGGAAAAGAAGGAGAGGAAGAAGAGAGCAAAAACAATATTCTGCGAAGGTAAAACATAAACATACAAAACGTACCTTGATCATGATGTTATTGATGTAACAATCTGCATGGCTGAGCACTTTTGGCCTCGGGTCGTCTTCCATGGGACGAATCTTCATATACAACTTCTCCAGACGAGCTATAAGGTCTGTCTGGTCAGGAAACACTGCGGCGAATTCCTTCACGCCGGTCAGATATCGGCCAACCGCAAAGTCCTTCAACACAGCTTGGATATCTGAACGACGAACTATCATCCAGTCGCACTTCTCGGGAAGAGGGACGCCCGCGCGGAGCTCCAGCCGATGTGACAGGCCGTGCAGCTGCGCCAGCGCCCCGGCTGTAAGCATCATCTCCTCACGGTTCAGCGATTGGCTGCCGGCTTTGATGGAGAAGCCCTGAGCCTTGAGATTCTCCATAACCCTGACGGACACCATGGAGCTCGGGTCGGTGGCGGCGAAGTAGCATTTGGGGAGGAACTTCAAGGAATCGACTGGAGGCTGAGAGTCGTCATCTTCATCCCTTGGCATAGATTTGATCTCGTAGCTTGGGATTGCCACAGAGAGGAGCTCAGGGATCGCGTTGGAGTAAAACTTGACCTCAGTCGTCTCCATTCTGATCTGAAAGTCCTTTGACCACTGTTTAATCATCGTTAGCGGCCGCTCGAAATCAGTCAGCTTAGCGACGAGACTGTATCGCTGACTCGCACCATTCCTGATCCCCACAGCATCAAAAGCGATGATATCGCTCATGAACCCCTCGCCTTGGCTGATGGATCCCTTGACATGGACGTCCGTGATGGAGACGCCCGGGAGGTCCTTCTGCAGTACCTGCTGTACCCAGGAGGGGGCGATGTCTTCTGCAGACTGAGGAATGGCGATCTCGCTTGTTGCTGACATCTTCACTATAATATTTCTCTAGATATCAGAAAATACAATGTTTGGAAAATACTTTGAATTTGTAGAACGTACGGACTGATCTTTTAACTACGTCCCATTAGATTTTCCTCATTTGTCATGCAAATTAGATATTGATTATCAGTAGCTAATTATGCCATAATTTCATCTAGCTACATACAAAAAAATCAGTCAAACCTTTCTTCAGTTATTATCCCTCAAAATTTTTAACGCTCCTGCAGTTCCAGAACAAGCTGATAGGAGGCCCTAACTGATGTCATCTCTTTCCGAGCAAACCGGGAGAGCTACCCACCATCCAAAATTCATAACCCTAGCTCAACAAGCCTAAAAAAAACTAATCATTTTGAGATCTCATGAAGACCTACTCACCTACCAAATTTCACGACAACCGATCCATAGCTTCATACAATATTACTTCTGCATTTTAGTAACTTTTGAGCGTAACACTTCGCAGTTTGAAACCAGAGGAGGCATTTAGTGAAAGAAAGGTTCCGTAGAAAACTTTCTAGTCCCTTTAAACAGAGGTAGCAGCCCTGACCGTAGTGTTGAACACATGGTTTTAGTATAGGAAGATTAGCCTCCTTCGCAGTCTTGTTGGGCGTCGGCGTTATTTTCAGTCTCTGAGCGACGCGAGTAATATGCGGCCGCGAGGGACGATTTGCTGCCGAGGGAGTTTTTGCCACGGAGAGAAGGTTTCGCGCTCAA